AAAGCATCTGTTCTCTTCAAGGAAACAAGAAAGTCTGGTTCTTCTTTCTAGTCTGTGAAGTAGGAGGTGGTGTCATTTGTTGTCTGGAGCCACAAGCCCCATGTTACTGGGTTGCAAGCTGCTGACTGCCTTTGTTAACATGCTGAAGATTTCATCGGCTGTCTTTAATAAAAGAGGATGTGTGTGAGGGAAGACATCAGCCGTTGCAGTTGGGTTTCTGTTCTCCAGCCCATGACTCATGGCTGGCAGATGGCAATGACACCCAATATATAACAGACAGCCAGTCACCTGGACTTTTTGCATTTCAGTTATACAGTGAAGCAATCTTTAAGTCTGTTTAGAAACCTTACTTGCTCTTATCTATATATATTTATATAAAGAGGTAATATGCAAATTAGCTGGGACACTGTAAGGCATCACAACCAGTTTAGAAGGAGCTTCGCATGCAGATAGGCAGGAGGGGAATGCATGCCACCCTCAGCCCCAGCAGCCATGGGGAGGCTGGGGCTGGGGAAGGGGCGAAGCAGAGACACAATACACAGGGGTGCCTCCTCTGAGCCTCTGAGGCATAGCTTAGAATACGCCCCCATCCCAGTGGACACACACCATGGGGGCCTCTGTGCATGAGCTGCTGAGGAAACACCTTTTCTGACCGCTCATTGGCTAAGCTTCTGGTACTTCACTCATAGTGCTCTTGGTAACTTGCATAATAAGAATCCAAGAAGGTAATCTAGGGTTTTTCCACCTCACTTCTGGAGGAAAAAAACAAAGGTCTTCTGCTAGAGGGGCTAAGAAATGTCATATCCTGCCCTAGCTGGTTTTGCTCAGTGGATAGAGCCTTGGTCTGCAGACCATAGGGTCTGGCTTCGATTCTGATCAAGGGCATGTACCTAGGTTGCAGGCTCTGCATGTAGGAGGCAACCGATTGAAGTATCCCTCTCACATTGATGTTTCTCTCTGTCTTTCCCTCTCTTTTCCATGTTCTCTAAAAATCAATGGAAAAACATCCTCGGGTGAAGATAGAAAAGAAAAAAAAAAGAGATAAATGCCATAGCCTATGAAAGAGACATCTTGAAAATCCCTAAAGTTGTCACTTTTTCGTGGTGAAGGGACTGGAGTCCATGTTGATGAAAACATCTTGGTGGCTACAACGGCCGGCAGTGGCAGCAGCAGATGGGGGTGGTGCCTTCCCCTGATCAGCCCAGTCACCAGTAGGTCACCCTAAGCCATCAGTAGGATATCCCCTGAGGGCTCCTGTGAGAGGGGGCAGGCTGGGTTGAGGGACCCCCCACCACACCCCAGTGCACAAATTTCATGCATTGAGGCCTCTAGTTTGGTTATGAAAAGGCTTTTAAAATTTTTTCTTTTGTCCAGTAAGCCATTTACTATTCTGTTAATAAAGCTTTATCTGAATATGTACTACCTTAAGTAATTATGGGCAAGAGAAGAATTCTGTTTTATGGGAGGATAGACATTTGATCTGACATATTTTGTTCTATAGGAACTTCATTCTCTTATTAAGGAAAAAAAATCATTTCAGAAGCTGTAAAAGCATATAATCTAGGATCTGGAAATGACCTCTAGAAGAGCACTTTTCAAATTTTAATGAGCATACAGAGCACCTGAGTATCTTGTTAAAATTCAGAATCTTACTCAGTAGGTGGTGCCTGAAATTCTTCATTTCTATTAAGCCCTTAGGTGATGCTAATGTCCCTCCCTAAACTCTCATTTTTGTAGCAAGGTTGGATGACCTGAAGGCAGTCAGTCCAGTGGGCATCCACTAAGCTACCCAGAGATTGCTGTGGAAGGGAGATATGATGGTTTAAAAGATAAAAACCCTATCTTTGAAGAGAGAAAACAACCATATAGGGAGAAGGTAGTCTATACCAGTTTTAGTCATAAATCTTTAACAGACAAATGAAATTATTTATGTCACATGACACTTTCAAAGTAGTTACCTGAGGCAATAGATATGTATGTCACATATGAGCACACAGCATGTCAATTTCTTCAGTTTCCAGTTATGCAAATAAGAATCTGTTACATAATATATGTGCATTTATTTTTAAAATAACTTTTTTTTTACTCTATTAAAATAGGTACATTCAAACCACAATGTTTCCCCTGAAAGTAGTAATCTATTTATAGTTAGATATTTGCTTAAAAATATTGAATTCGCCCTGGCTGATGTGCTCAGTTGTTGGGGTGTTGTCTAGTGCACCAGTGAGCTGCCAGTTTGATTCCTAGTCAGTGCACATGCCTGGGTTCCCCATAGGGGATGTAAAGAAGGAAGCCTATCAGTATATCCCTCTCACATAGGTGTTTCTTTCTCCCTCTTCCCCTATCTCTGAAAATCAATAAAAAATAGTTTAAAAATTGAATGATTTTCTTAATATGCACATTTTTTTAGTTTACTTAGATTTTTATTCTTTAGGAAACACGGTCAGTATTATGTAAGCTTCCATGAGATCTATTATCCCACATTAACTTCATAATGTCAATTTTTGTTTAATGAGAAACATGCTAATGTGAAAAATGCAAAATTAAAGTTATTCGAAAACCAATATAATTAGCATTCAGACTCATTTTGATAACAGATTTAACTTCTTAATTGTATTTTCTTATAATAATATTAACTTTTTTTGGTAACCTCTGAGTGTTTTTAAAAATCCCGTTGAGTTGGAATTCTAGCTAGGTACAGACACTCTGGTAATAAAGTTATTCAAGAAATAACCGCTATCCCTCAGAGACATCTGGTTTCTCTCCGCCCAACCACTGGGCCTCTTCTTTTTCTGTGAAGTAAGGAATGATCTCCAACCCTGGTTCTCCCTCCCCATTTCCTCTCTTCCTACTCAGGAGAGCAGGGAATTTGAACACTTAATCGATTTAGCCTCTCTAGTAACTCAAAGACTGTGAATACACTTCACCATCCGTTTAGTAGCTGTTTATTGGTTGTGATGCTAAGCTCTGTGAGGGGACATCATTCAGAAGTGTGTTCAAGCATCAAACTCAAGATAATAATGGTGGTATGCCAACACAGTTCTCTTAGGAAGACAGAGTAGGAGGTGTTATTTTAGGTTTCCAATGTGGAGATACTCACTGCACATGTAATTTGGAGCTGTGTTTATTTGGAGTGGTGTTTAAAATTAGATACTGACCATCTGTATTTTTCTTGATAAGTGTGGAGTCATCCAGACTAAAAGGTTCTTCGAAGGTTAGTAATAGTTTATGTTTGCAACATTCCTTTTGGAAAGGATGTTGAAAAGTTGGAGAATAATGCCCAGTAGTTGAAAACTTAAGAGAATTTTGGTATACATCCAGAAACATATTATGTAGCCATTGAAATAAAAATTGTAAAGTTTGTATAGCCACATAAATATCACAAACATGCATTTGCTTTATCTCAAGCACGGTGAGTCAGGAAAAGTAAACTTGACATTTGTAGAGTATCTACAATGTGCATGTACTGTGCCACATTTATTTTCTCTTATCTTTCTAACAATGTGCAGAAAGTTGATATTATTTCAATACTTCATAAATGAAAGACCTGAGACAAAGATATGTTAGGGGACTTCACCAAGGTCATAGCAGTGGCTGAGCGAGAACTCAAATCCACATCTCAAAATCCAAATCTGATCCTTTTTCCCCAGTTGGTTTATTCTGAGCTATTCACCCCTCTCCCTAGCACTGCTTTGGTTCAGAAATAATTGTTTTTACAGTAAAGAGTAGAGTCATATGAATTCAGCTGGAAAATGCATGCATTGTGAAAATGCTAAATCATAGAAATAATGGTGAATTATTTTAGGTGGTATCAGATTTGCCAGGATAATTAAGAGTTGACATCATCTGAAAAATGAAAACATAATCTTAGCATAAACACATTTTGTTTTATCTGATATTTGAAATATGCATTTATGTAACTGCCAAAGTATTAGCTACTCTGTAAGCCAGAAAGTTCCAGCGACAAGACAAGAGCAGCAGTGCAGCCCTTATTCATTGATAGCAAGCAAAATATTTTTTTCCCTTTGGAAAGGAGTGTTATTAACTAATGTCTGAGAATTTGGGGAGGGAAACCCTGTATTACTAGTACTACATAACATACTTTTTTTTTTTTAAGTTTGCCTTTCACATGATAACTTTGTATTACAATTAGCACACATTACAGAAAAATCTGCAAATTACTTTATTTTTAAACAAATAGCATAAAACTTCTCTTATAAAAGTACCATGTTTTATCTATTACTAGATGTTTTTACTTTGCTGTATTTAGAGTAAATACCTTTAGGTTACAAACTGGCTTAAAAGTAAAGACTTTGTCTCATTAAATTACTTGAGCTAGATTTGGAAAGGACTATAATGGTTTCATTTGAATTTTTTTTTTTTCAGGATAGTTTACCCTGAAAACATCAGTAAAACTTTTATATTTTACTTATTTATGTTTTTATAAATGGCATAGAATATTGCTAAGGAGAGGGAACAAAGGTGGGGGGATAAAGGGGGTCAATGGGGGGAAAAAATACAAAGGGTCCATTGTAATACGTTCAACAATAAAGATACATTTTTTTAAAAAGAATTTTAAAAAGTGGGTGGACACAGAAATGTGTCAAATTTTCCCACTTAATATTGTATTTCTTGGTGTTGAGTTGACCAAAAGTTTAATTTTGTCCATCTGAAATTGTATCCCCCTTTTTCCCAGGGTGGTACTGACTAGGTTGCTAGGTTTTCATATGTAATCCATTCTTTCTCATTAAAGACTAAAACTGTTTCTCTAGCTGCCTGCCCTTTTTACAAAGGCACAGAGTACACAGGCTGTTTGGAATCTTTTTCCCCCCTTCCTTCCTAGTTATCTTTGTCTGTTTGTATAAATCGCTAAATTGCTTCCATGAAATGCCTCCAGCCATAAGGGAATCATTTGCATAAGAGGATGAAGATTTTTGTCTTCCTCAAAGGAAAGCTTGACGTGGCCTCTTAATCAGTTTCCTTCCTCTCTCTGGCCCTAGTATCCGGCTGCGCTGATGAACCTGGGAGCCATCCTGCACCTGAACGGCCGGCTGCGCCAGGCAGAGGCCAACTACCTGCGGGCGCTGCAGCTCAAGCCCGATGACGTCATCACGCAGTCCAATCTCCGCAAACTCTGGAACATCATGGAAAAGCAAGGCTTAAAGACTTCCAAGACCTGACAGGAGCCGGGCCTCCCCCTCCTCCACATGTTCAAGCTGGCTTCTTAACCAACGGGACTTCCCAGCAGGGCGAGGACAAGAGCTTTGTTTGGACCCCAAGGCCAGGGCAGAGGTCACCGAGGTCACTGCCACTTAGCTGTGGACACAGCCTTTAGCACCAAAAGTGGGGGGGAACCTTGGAAACCTCCTGAGGGATGTAATCGTTACCCATAGAGCTAAACCAGAGCACTTAACAGAGGATCTCTTGGCCTCTAACTTCCAAATTTGTGCATTTTTGAAAGCTAATTTAGAAATCATATTGTTTTCCTAATCACTGTGAGAGGAAGCCAGAGTGTCCGCGCAGCCACAGGAAACTGTTAAGGCCAGGTGTTCGGAGGGAGTGATTCCTGTGTCCTTTGAACCCTCAGGAGCCAGAGGTTGTCCAGACGCTGCTGCCTTCCCTCTTTGGGGCGGCCTGCTTATCAATTTCTGCAAATTAGAAAACTTTTTTTTTAATAAGACGTCAGGCCCTGTGGGAGTCTACACCTGTTTCCTGACTAGTGCACATAACGTGTTATGATTTGGATGTCAGTCTTCACTTTTTGGGGAATCATTTGCTTTTCATGACGGGAAGAGGATATGCAGAGTAGAGTAACCCCCATTTCACACCAGTATTGTAGGAGGGGCTAGGGAGGCCTCATACTTGTCAGGCAGGCATTTTTTTTTTTTTTTTAACTATAAAGTCGCCAATATTTACACGCCCTCCCACAAAAAAATTGCCTATGAGAATTCATTGTATTAATTATTAGGCCTTTGAAATTGCCTTTTAAAATGGCTATTCCTGGTTAATGCACATGTTTATATAAGGACTACAGGCCCGATGCATAAAATTCATGCAAGAGCAGGCCTTCCTTCCCCCAGCTGCCAGCACTGGCTTCCCTCTGGCACCCTGGACCGAGCTTCCCTTGCAGCGCGGGCTTTACCCGGAAGATCATCTGGTCTAATTAGCATATTACACTTTTATTATTATAGATTATAACTAAAGGAAGCTTAAAAGTGTTCTGGCTCCAATAACTAACCAGCAGCTCTTAGACAAAAGGGAAGGTGCTTTGTGCTTTCCAGAAGTTACTGGTTAAAAAATCAAGTCTGCTCAAAGGAGTGTATAATCATGGTTACCAATGACTTTGTATTTGGGAGATGTTATTATGAAATGCTAATATCTTTCTAATAGGTACCAGAACAGTAATGCTGATACGGTTTTAAGGAATTGTTTTTATTGTATTTCTCATATTTTGCTCTTCCCAAAAAAACATAAAAATGACTTCTTATTTTAAGCTGCAGTAGAGTGTAGCATTAGCCTGCGTGTTTCTAGGTCTTCTGCCAAGTGCTTTTTACAGTTGAAAACCATTTCTCACTAGCAAATTTGGTATTTTGTTTCATTACCTATTTGTAACCACTTCCACGTTCACTTCACAAGTAAAAGAGTATAAAAGATGTAGAGAAGAACATTTGAACATTTTTTTTTTGCCTTGCAGTCAGACTTTGCTACTAAAAATTATCTTTGTGAAAATAATAGCCCACTATTAGCTTCTTCATAAGGTAGAAACACAATACTCTACATATTTATTTATTTATTATTCTACAATAGCAGAATAACAAAACAAAACTTCACTCATCAAGCCAATTCCCTGCAACTGAAAATTAGCTTTTTTTCCTTCACACTCATGCTCCATGTATATATGGTCAGCATCCCCATTAAAGGGAGCTACACATGCAAATGCATTGTACTACTATGTTTTCGCCATACTTTGTATGTTTTTCTGCATATCTGAAGACAGTGGGATAAAGAATTTGAAGTGGTGTTCTTATTGGCATTAGTGCTTTTGTAAGAAGGGCAGATGTAGTGAGAGAGATTTGTGATGGCATTAATAAGAAGGCCCTCCTACTATGTGTAGTATTTTGTAAACATTTCACTGAGGGGCCAAAAGTTAAATTATAACTAAATCACTGTGTTCTCAGAATGATATTTAACATTTAGCAACAACAAACCCGTGGTCAAACCAAAAATAGGGGTTGAAGTGTATTTTTCATCTTCTACTGCATTGGCAATTGCAAACAAATAAATGAAAAAGGAATTTAATATAAGGATATACAGATGAATTCAATGTCTAACATTTTTATTTATTTAAATATTGACCTATGATGATTTCCTAGTTTTAACACTTTATGTCTTTTTATTGTTATTGTTCTTCCTTTCAAAACACTTGGTTCTTAATAGGTTTGCTAATTGCACAGTAGAGGCACTTCATGTTGACCCAGTTCCCAAGTAGCATTAATAATTGGGCCTGTGTCATAAAATGCATGGATCTCTAATAACAAAATGTCCCTGACACCTTTTATTACAGGGCTGGGCTTAGACCAACTTGGGGGGAGGGGAACAGGGGGGCATAACAGAACATGGTCAAAAATGTCTCCGCTCAGGGATTTATGGTGGATTATTGCAGACAGTGCTAAAAATATAGAGCACAAGACAAGTTTACTAAATTAAAATTTTATTTTTTGAGAAGCTGTTATTTGTATAAATTATCAAGATTTGTAGGCTTTCCTTTTGTAGAAATAATTGTTTTATGTGCCAGAGAATTTCAATTTTGTTTTCAACAATAAAGCATTGATAACAAATATGTTGTTGAAGCCTTTTTTCAGTTTTCCACAGCAACAACACTTAAACTCTCTTGAATTTTAGCAAAATCAGGAGATGATTTTTAAAAGGTGGAGATTGAGAGTGAAATAGAGACAGAATGTAGTTAATGTATAATAAGAATTATTAACTTTTAGTAGTTACAGTAGCAATAAGGGTTGCTGATGTCATTGGATTTTCCATGTTCAGAAAGATGACATGATCCTGGCTGGGGTGTTCAATTGGTTGAACATTGTCTCATGCACCATTCACTGAAAGGTCACCAGTTCAATTTCTGGTCAGGGCACATGCCCAGGTTGTGGGTTCGATACCCAGTTGGGGTGTAAGCCAAGTAATGTTTCTCTCTTTCTCTTTCTCCATCCTCCTCTCCCTTCCTCTTTAAAAGAATTAATAAAGCCCGGCCAGTGTGGTTCAGTGGTTGAGCATCAACCTATGAACAAGGAGGTAGGGTTCAATTCCTGGTCAGGGTACATGCCCAGGTTATGGGTTCAATCCCCATTAGGGGGTGTGGAGGAGGCAGCCAATCAATGATTCTCTCTCATCTTTGATGTTTCTCTCTTCCTCTCCCTTCCTCTCTGAAATCAATAAAATATCTATATATTAAAAAAATAAAAAAGAAAATATGACATGGGTTTTGTTTTGTCTTATAGATGAACTATAGAAAAGTATTAGGTAATATCCCAAGCAGGACCAATTCCCTACTTCTCAAGTTGCTTGGTAAAAATGGCTATAATTAGAAGAACCCAATTCTCTAGCTTTAGTCCTGGAGGAAAGCACAGCTCCAATCTGCTGAGAGACGCGTGTGGTACATTCAGGGGTCAGTTATAAAGAAACCTTGGATTCCAAGTAAGGTGCAAACTGGCAGACAGAGAATTTGATAGTCTTGAGAAAATTGTCACATATATGGAATGATTGTGTATTGCCTGATTCTTTTTATTTCAGAATAAAATTTACGGTAGCTGTAGAGATTTTATTTTCTGCTAAACAGTCTCTGGATGTGTCAGGTTCTGTTCCAGTTTTAGTTAAGAAAACCAGGGCTCAGCGGTATGAAATAACTTGTTCAGATCACTAAGCTGGCAACCAGCAACCCCGTCCCCATGTTGTGCTATGCTTGTATGTCTCCTGTCACGTGAGCACTCAGACCTTAAACCCAAGTTGAAGATGAGGTTTTTCACCTTCCTTGGCATTTCTCTAGCTATTTCTTTTTCTGCATTTTCTGCCTCATCGCAGATGATCCTGAAGATTGGAGAGATTGCTACACTCTGAATGTTTATGCTAAAAACAAACAAACAAACAAACAAAACTAATATCGATAGGTAGCATGGAAGTAGGGGATTGATTGGGTCATGAAGGTGAAGCCTCGTGAATGGGATAAATGCCCTCGTAGAAGAATCCCCAAAGAACGCTTACCCCTTTGTCCAGGAGAGGATTCAACAAGAAGTTTGCAGCCCAGACCAACCATGCTGGTACCTAATCTCAGACTTCTAGCCTCCAGAACTCTAATAAAGAAATTGCTCTTGTCTACAAGCCACCCAGTTTTGTTATTTTGTTATAGCAGCCCAAACAGACCAAGATGGAGGTGATGTATGAAAAATCATATTACAAATTTAGAGTATGAAAGCCAAAAAAAAATTTAAAAAATTCATGTAACTAAATCCATTTACTTACCACCTAAGGAATGTAAGGCTCCTAAGTTCAAGGACTGAACCAAGATCCCAAGACTAGTTAGTAGCAGTTACACAATAGTTAGTAAGAGATCTTAATATATTAACTAAGTGCATAATTGACTCCAGTTTTTAATTTAAATGTTATTTTTCAATTATAGATTACATTCAGTATTATTTTGTAACAGCGTAGTTGCTAGACATTCATATGCATATAAACTATTCCCTTAGATATTTCCAGTACCCACCTGGCATCTTGCACAGTTATTACAATGTTATTGACTATATTCCCTATGCTGTGCTTTACATCCCCATGACTATTTCATAGCTATCAATTTGTACTTCTTTATCCCTTCACTTTTTTTCACCCAATTCCCTCCCCTTTGGCAAATATCAGTCTATTCTTTGCAACTATGAGTCTATTTCTATTTGGTTTGTTTGTTTTCTTTAGATTACACATATAAGTGAAATCATATGGCATGTGTCTTTGTCTGACTTATTTCATTTAGCCTAAGACTCCTGCAAATGGTAAGATTCCATCTATTTTTATGGCTGATTGATCCCCTTTTTAAATTAAGGTATAGTTTTAACTTGGATTAAGACACTATCCTCTGAGACCAATGAGGCAGGGGCCATGTCTGTCTGTCTTGGCTTATTTT